TTCCCGGAGATGGGCAATTAACACAGCGGTAACACCGGTATACGCGCATACGCACACGCCTGAGCACTGCTGAGCTGTCCAAAAAAACCACCGTACTGATAGCTCGGTCGACGGCAGTGGATCCAGGTCAATCTGGTCGTCTCCGCAAGCCTCTGGGCCGCTAGAAGACCTTCCAGATGCCTCGTCATAGCCTCCGGACAGTGAGACAGTATACATGGAACTTCCCTCAAACTGAACTGTTCCCTACCCTCGGTGAGGGCTCGAAGAGCTAAGTCAGGTGAGAACCCTATGGCAGGCTGCGGCTTTAGGTGCTACGCGTTTCGTGTGCTTCTGGAAATGCACATCATTAGACCGATCCCACGGGGGGTAATGGAATGTAGAAGTCTCGCCTTGTTCGAAGGGTTTAACGAGACCAACCGACGACGACTTGAAGCAGCGAGGAGCAATAAGGAGTAAATATCTCGGACTTCGGGGGATTTACCTCTCCCGCCATCTATCCATTTGATCTACGACACTTGCCTTGTTTGGCAGTTTGCACTCATCTTCCGCTCGCACCTCTCACGCGACCCCAGCTTGAGTCGGGCTCTCGCGCTCGTCCCTGTTCAATGGAGTCTCTTTTGGGTCTCCATGTGAAACGACGGAGTACCAGGCCATGAAGGAAGGCTTTCTGGACTCGCCCGGACTCTTGACGACTACTCCGCTCATCGTCGACCCGGTTCCCCGGAGAATTGCCTTCGCACTCACTTCGGAATGAAACCGCTCATTTAAGAGCCTCGGGATTTCTCTGGATGTTCGAGCGTCATTTGCACCCCGACTTGACTGCCTCGGCAGAGGCCTCTTCGCGCCGTCAACATTAGCGCTGGGTAGCGACTCGAACGACATCTTCGCTGTTCAATCCCCCGCACCCCTCCCCAGCCTATCATCCCCGCACACCCGCACGCGATGTCGAGGCCCACCATGATCGAGGATCCCGAGAAGGGGACTATGGATGTCATCCTTCCGTCTCTGCCCCAAAGCCCAAAGTCGGATAGCTCTGGCGCTTCCATGAACGATACCACTGCGAAGGCCCCCGCGATGGACGAAAAGGCTGTCATTTCTGTCACGATGTCAACCTCTCCGCAGGCTAAGAATGCGGGTCCGAAGAAGCCTAGGAAGCGTGCATCTTTAGGTGTCCGGTTTGCTCTATGGTTCAACACGTACCGGTGCGTTTGCCATGCTCCGCGTCTCCAGCGCAGCACACTTATACAATCGTCTTGCAGTAAATTCTATACGTTCATTGTCCTTGTCAACGGTATCGGTCTTCTTCTGGCCATCATCGGAACATGGCAGTACCCGCGACGGTACACCGGCGCGCTCGTCCTCGGGAACTTGCTCACCGCCATTCTTATGCGGAACGAACTTTTCGGTCGACTGCTGTATCTCATCGTCAACACCCTCTTCGCAAAGGTAAGCAGATTGCCTACCTATAGGTTTATTGGTCTCATCGGGATGTAGTGGACACCGCTTTGGTTCCGCCTTGGCTGCACGTCAGTGCTTCAACACTTGGGCGGTATACACTCCGGATGCGCGTCTTCCGGGTTTGCGTGGCTCATCTTCCGCGTCACCTTGATCTTCATCAACCACCAGAACAACCACGATGCGATCCTCATCATGGGCGTGCTCACAAACTTGTTTGTGGCCATTAGTATTGCTAGCGCATTTCCATGGGTCCGGAACACGCACCATAAGTACGTCGTTGTGACTTGTCTTCTGTGTCCCTACATTTCACTAACAATTCAACTCAGCGTTTTCGAGAGGCACCATAGGTTCATCGGATGGTAAGCATCCACTCATAGCAGATATTCGCGACGATAGCTGATGCGATGTTCGACAGGATGGGTCTTCTGTCGAGTGCGTGGGCCCCATATTGAAGATCGACGAGTCCAACTGATGGCATATTCTCATTTAGCCTGGGTATTCGTCGTCCTCGGAGACAGCTATGATTTGACGACACATACCTGGAATCCCGATGGGACGACAATCTTGCGACAGCAGGACTTCTGGTTCGCGTTCGGGATGACGGTCTTGTGAGTGCCATTAGACAAATGCGAGACGCGCTCGTAGCTAACGCGAGGGCACGTTAGCATCTTGATTCCCTGGTTCACTATTCGTGAGGTCAAGGTCGACATCGAAGTCGTAAGTAGGCCGCCTACGAAGTTTTTCCTTGATCTGACCCATTTGCTGTCAGCCATCTCCAAAAGTCGCCATCGTGCGCTTCGAGCGGGGCATGCAGCAGGGTCTTCTCGCCCGCATCTCGCGATCCTCCGTCATGGAGTACCATGCTTTTGGTATCATCTCGTGAGTTCGCATCCTGCTTATCTGGATAAAGCTGACGCGTTAGCCGTGGTCGAAAGGGAGGGAACACATGCGAAATACCACTATCTTATCTGCGGTGTGCAAGGTGACTTCACGAGGAGTCTTGTTGTCGACCCGCCGCAATACCTGTGGACCCGACAGCTGAAGGTGTGTACAAATGTCTGAACGTCGTATGAACAGTCGCATGACTCAGCTACAGTTCGCTGGCGTCTCCAACACGTCCACACTGTATCATCGCGGAATTCGTGTGTGCACGGGCACCGGAATCGGAGCTGCCTTGTCGACATGTCTGCAGGTAAGCCCAGAAGCTTTTCTTTAGCATCGAGCATTGCCTGACGCGAACTCGTAGAACCCGAATTGGTGAGTGACGGCGGGGTTGCTTGATCGCGAAAGAATCTCACGAACGAGCCTTGCGTAGGTATCTCATCTGGATCGGCTCTGACCAGGAGAAAACCTTTGGCCCAACCATCTCTGGTCTCATCCATCGACATATCCAGCCCGATCGGATGTGTCTCTGGGATTCCAGGGCTAGAGGTAAGTGCTCCGGCAGATTGTTATGGGCATATGCTGACGCGGCACCCTCCGCGAAGGTGGCCGCCCGGACGTTATGAAGATTGTCAAGGAGGTGTACTCGTCCTGGCAGGCTGAAGTCGTCTTCATCACATCGAATTGGCAAGGAAACCAAGAGATCATGGAGGGCTGCAAGGAATCGGGGATTCCAGCTTTCGTGAGTTCTGTCCCGGTTCCGCCGCCATTCACACTAAGAATTATTGCGACAGGGTACGCTTTGGGATTTCTGAGATGTCGAGGACGAAGAGTTCAAATTAGCGATATGGTATTGCATTAATGTTTCCACATACTGTAGTTCTTCTGTATCCCTACCCTCTTTGCGCGCTGGACGACTTCCGGCTCGGGAGGAGTTGTATCTTGATATCCCGATATCTGACCGGTGTTCCGACGAGCCAGCTTCGGTCATCTTGGCGGACCCGGCGTCAAAGCATCTGTATTCAAACGAGGCGTCATTTCAGCCCTGAGGAGGTGGTGTGACGGGGCCCCAAGGACATCGTCGAACGAAGTATAGCCGTGTAAGATGCGGTATAACTGCGACCCTTGCGATGCACGCTTCTCGCCAGTCAGTTCCACTTTCGTACATCTCCCACGCATGACGAAGATGCCGCGGGAAGGATCTGAGAAGCGTAATCTGCTATGACTTCAATGACACTTGTGTGGGGAATATAAGCATGACGGGAGATCGTGCTCTCACGCATCGCAGAAATACTGCGGTGGGTATGCATTGGAGCCAGATAGCCGAAGAGAAGTGCTGCCGGTAAGAATATGCGTACACTTGGCCTTGCTTCCACGCCGCCGACGACTTGTGCTCCCAGTATGGCACCACTATCACCGCTTCACGAGCGGGGGCGATTGTAAGGCCTCGGGCGGTACAAAGATGTTGTCCCGGTACCATTGCAGCTCTGAATATCGTGGGTTGAGCGGAAACAAAGCTAAAGGTGCCGATCCTACCTCGTATTGAACCACGGATGTCATCCAGTGCTCTGCAGATACGGTTAAGTTGAGGCTCGTCGAAGTGCTTTAATGACGTACCTATGGCTACTCTCCTGTGTCTTCGGATATGGATGGTTCGGATACCATCTCCGGTGTAGTTCCTACTTGTACATGCTTAAGCGCAATTTGCGAGTACAGGACAGAACAGTTAAACCTTTATACTTGAGACATCTTCGAGCCGCAAGTGCGTATAAACACTCAATCCTGAGGTTGGCTAGTTGCACTTACCAACAATACTATAATTGGAGGACGTCAGAAACGTGAAGGACTGTGAGATAGTGGAAAGAAGGACCGGTAATGAAGCCAATCGACGACGGCAGGCATGTCCTTTGCCAAAAATGCCTTGTCTGCATGAACGCTGTTTCCAGCGAGCACTGCTGTTCTTTGCTCTGGTATCCATTTCTTGATGTATTTCATCACCGCATCTTGCACGGCCGACATTGAATACGGAGAGTTCAGACAATGTTCTGTCAGTCCTGACTGCAAAGGGGCGTCTTCAGTTTTGCTTCGCGCTCGGACACGGGTTCTTTAAAGCGTACCGATCCATGTTGTTTGGTACACCACTCGTCCATACTTTCGTAATAACTCAGCCGAAGGACTCGAAGAAGCCCCAACTGCGATAACTCACGCGTCTAGATCGGCCTTGTCTGTCCGCACCACGTACTCAATGCCTTCATCCACGACGTCTAGGTTGCCATTGGTTATGAGAACCTGGGTAGAGTGATATGAAAGGCTATGAAGATGTGAATATCAAGATGTGAACCAACTGAGACCGACCGCGACTTCAATAATCTTATCCTTCCGGAGGTCCAATCCCGTCATTTCGCAGTCAATCCATACGAGAGGCCCGTCCGAAAAAGCCATAGGCTTTGCAGCAGCCATGTTTATTCTTCTTGGCTTGAGCACAAGCGGTCGATTCAGGTGATGTCGCAGAAAAACTCTGGATCGTAATGGTGAAACAACGTTCCTCAGCATGCAGTGGATTGAACGTGAAGACAAGCCGAGAAGTTGAAGGTGACCGCCGCTTCGATCTATGTCAGGGCTAGACAGGGAATGTAAATAATAATGAACTTCACCGACACGGTGTTATAGTGTAGCGGTTATCACTCAGGATTCTGATTATACGGATATTCCTGAAACCCAGGTTCGATTCCTGGTAATACCTTTTCGACGTCCGTATCTTTTTTTCATGGAACCAGAACCGTAGGGGATGTGCAGAATATCCAACGCGGTTAGCCTATGCCGCAGAGCCAATTCACGTTTCTAAGTCCTCGAAATGAAGAATATCCCCCCTCCGGAACGTTCGCACTGCCACGGCCGCACCTCTTCCAGCTTCCCCAGGCGCGGCCATCTCAAGCCCCTTGTATCTAACACTTCCGATTCTTCCTTGGATATGTCGCACTTCCGCCAACGCAACTGACGTTTTATACCCCTCACCAGGCGTACGAACCTTCGTGTAGATCCGTCATCAACAATCTTCTCAGAGCATGACGCACCGGAGTGAAGAAGTGGTATGGCCTCGGGTAATACCAGGAGGACTGAGTGGTGAATGTCTCTTAGAGAGTCAAGGTGTCGGATAGGAGTTGAAGCCTATAGGTTAGTACGACGGCACATCAGATTGACCATCTCGACGAGGGTCTCATATCACCACTGGATATTCAACAACACCTGACACCTGTAGGCCGTATGATCTTCATTCGCCCCAGATCTGCCGACAACTCTCGTATACATCTTGAATGCATAGCCGTTCTGCATCGCGGACGCAGATATACTCGTTCAGGTTCGCTAGGTCTCGATTTGCTCCGTGGAGCAGCAAGCTTGTCCAGACGCATGATGAAGACCGGACGACACTGCCTATATGGACTGCATCTGCTGATGACCATCAGTCTCTGCTTCTCGCTCATGCACTGAATTCCTGCCGTACATGCGATGGATCCATTGGGTTTCAAGGTCTATCCATCAAGTTGCTCGCCTTCGCGCCTTTCCTTGCCCTGCCCGTAATTCCGGAGCTCCATTTTCTCTCCCTCTTGACCCTCGTGAGTCCTCACCGGCTTCGACTTCCTCCGCTTCGTCCTACGGGCAGATCTCCGCTCTCAATTGGCGGCTTGGGCCATTCGCCTGGGAAGAATCCTGGAATCATTCTGTCTCTACTTGCCGGGATTCGTCAGTATACAAGTACAAGTAGCTCCGTGAAGACGCCACATATCGAAGCGGCAGACTACCGGGGCGTGTGTTTATTATGGTATCGACAATCTTCATGCTCTTCCAGCTCAGCTTCAACCCGTACGCGCGTGTTTCTGTACGCATAGAACGCACAACCTCTGCAGAATCAAGAACGAAGGCTGACGGACACTGCGTGTTTCGACGAGTTGCTGAATCTCCTGACGAGACGGTCTTACGAAGCTGTGCTTGTGCAGGAGCGACGTATCGGTGAGCTGGATTTGATGAGAGGTGCGGAGAGGTGAGCGGCGCTGACTCGAGGGCTGTCGCTCGCAGCGCCGGGTCGGCTGAGTTCGCAGTGCAGTAGACCTCGATATTTGGGGCGTCGGCGCGGCGCGAGAGAACAATAGGAAACATCATTCACCGTTGCCGGAGGTTGTGTCGGGAATAAAGTGCCATCGGCGACAGCGCGTCGTTGCTGCTCTGCGACGCGTGTGGTGTCCTTAAGACTAGATGCCGTCCGGTGTGACTTAGAGCAAGAGCTATGAAGAGGTGTTGGCGATCACATTGATATTCAGAGTGCGGAAAGGCAGAAACGGATGTATCTAGTACAACGTCCCTACGCGAGTGGTAGTAATACAAGTGATGCTCAAGGAGCCGTGATGCCGATACTATATACACAATAACGAAAGCGAGACGCGAGAGCCGATAACAGTGAGGAGAACGGAGACAGCAAACACAAAAGCTATAAAGAACAAAACAAAACAAAGCTTGCTAGAGGTCAGAACAAGACAGGATATCAATGAACAAAACAAAAGAGTAAGTAAGAATGAAGGGGCGCGGCGGCAGCGCGCGGTGTGTTCGTCGCCGTCGCGGGTGGCATGCTCCTAGTTGCACGCCATGGGGAATGGCGGGGGCAGCTCTGATGGTCCGATGAAGACCTCAGGGATGGGCGGGGCCGGTACCGCCGTCCGCTCCGGCTCGCTCAGGTCGGGTGCTTGGCGGGCCTGGAAGACCGCCATGTGCATCCTGATTTGGTGCCGCAGGATGTCTTGCCCCGACATGTTGTAGAATGTCGGGCGCGGCGACGCGATCCGCATGCGCTTGATGCGCCGCGGGCCTTCCGAGTTGGGTGCCGCTGGGGACGGCACCGCGGGGGTCCGTTCATCGTCGGACGCCGCCTCCTCGTCGACGTCGTCGTGAGCGCGCTTGCGCTTGCCCAGATTCTCCCTGCAGGCGCGCGATGAGACACTATACACGAGTGGATGTCAAGCTGGTCTACGTACATGTAGATGCACCGGAGGATGACCACAGGGTCTTGTGGAGGGGCCAAGAGTGTTGAGAGGTGCAGTTGCCACGGCTGGTTGCTTCTCAGCCACGACGCCGTCTCTGCCCATGGCGGCGGGACCATGTTGTTGATGAGCTCTTTCGGCGGCGGGCATGTCGAGTCTAGCGGGCCCTCCGAAGCCGGAGTGGCGGCTGGAAAGTGAGTGGCGCGTTAGCCGTGCAAAGACAAAGCATTAGTGATTCTCGATGCTTACCGGCGTCGGCCTCCACAATCTGTGGCGTCTCGATAACAGGGTTCGATGGCGCCAGCTCCGGGATAGGAAGGTTGAGCGAGGCCTCTTCAGGCCTGAGAGGTGCCAAGTCCTCCCGATGGGACCTCTCTGTGGCAGCTCGCAACGCGCTGGATGGAACTGGAGTTCACTTGATTGCTCGAAGAAGGATGCAACGAAGACGTACCGAACTCCACTGTTGTAGCTTTTATCGACAGCCGTTTTGATTCTGTCGGCGGTCTTCTTGGCGATATTGCCAGGCTTCTGGGGAAGTGTCAGTGCCACACAATGAGGATTCGCCTCATTCCGACTCACCACCTTGAGCTTGTCGAGTGTGATCTTCTTGAACGGCCGCACCTTGGAGAAGTTCATGGTATGAGTTGCGGAAAACATTGTTTCGTTCGGGGAGGAGAGTTAGAGCACAGTAGGACGATGTAGTGGGGAGATAGAGAAATGCAGCTGCGCTAATCAGATGCGGCAGTCCTTAAATTCGGGCCTGTGGCGACGCGAAAACAATAAGCACCAAGTAAAGCACACCGATTCGGCCTCAGCACGCGATATCAAGGCTTTCATCCCAGCGTGACCGTGATGCCGGGCGCCTGATGGTGGATATCGTGCGAGATAATTGCGGCTCTTGACCATCCCATCACAAAGCCTTCGCCATAAAGGGGACAAAACAAAAAAACTGAGTCAGGGGAGAGGCTCGAGCGACCGCGTGATAATTGATAGGTAAATTGATCAAATGGTGGGACGAGCGCTCGTCGCACGGTCGCTGAGGCCCTGGAAGACGATACAGCAAGAGTACAAAGGACGAATGCGTTGGCTGGTGCGCCAAAGGCAGCAACGGGCTGCTGCTGCAAGCTTGTCGTGTTCGATTCGAGAGGACGGCTGAGCAGGTATGTCAGGTATCCGAACAGAGATCGTACCGCGGGAAATCAATGCCAACGCCATAAGCGCTGGTTCTCGCATATGCTGCAAGCTTCTGGATGAGTTCGTAGCACGTGTTAAGAACAAGGACATCTGTAAAGGAATAATCAGAACGTTCTCGTGCACAAGGGAAATCGCTCTTCTCAAACCTCCGAGCACGATCGATATCGAATCAATCGTTTCTAAGATATGAAGCCTTCAGGAAGGAGCGTTTGTAGAGTGTGTTCTTTAATTCCACTGCCAATGCCAGCATAATTCTGTGAGTGGTAATGAAGGATCCCATGTATGTGGATTATAGAGATGGGCACCCGCGAAAGAAAAGCTGGTGATACCACGTACTGGAGAATTCTTGCGCATAATTCACCGTGCTTTTGAGCTAGGTGTATGGCATCCTGAGCGTTCCCTGGAATGTCGGCCTCTCGAAGTACTTATTGGGGTGTCAAAACCTGCTCTATTTACGATATCAAGGAACTTGTGAGGGCGTGGATACTAGTGAAATTTTTGGCTGCGCCCCGAAGGGAGTAATTCTACCTGCGAATAGAGAGAATGTTCAGCACCTCCTCTACGCGACAGAGGACAAGCAACTCACGACGATAAACCACTCTGTACCTTCTGCACAGTATCGTACGAGGCCATCTCCACCGGTGTGCAAGGCTGGGGTGAGGTTCCAGGCCAAAGGAAAAAGTGGTAAGCGCCCATATACGGTGAGAGGACGTCGCCGATCAGAGATCTTATCTTATCTTTCCGCAGACGCTGGCTGTAAGCTCGGATGCTCCCCAAGCCCCCCACAAGGCGGGTGACGATCTCTATAGAGGCTAGTAGATACTTGCTTTGCGTGTCACTTATTCATAGCGACCTGCTGGTCACCGTGATGCCCGTGACTGTTCACCACAGCAGCGTACTGCGTGAATCGCTCGCTGACAGCCACGGCGTTCGCGCACGGCGTCGCATGATAATATACTATACTTATACAAGCAACTCTCTGCATGTTGCACACGAGATGAGATCAATGAGATGCCAGCCGCACGACAGACTGAATTCGACGGCGCGCAACTTGCGAGCTCGAGCTCGAGAATGCAGGTATCAAAACAAAGCATCAGACAACATGAGTAAGTAGTACAAGCACAACACAGCACTGAGATGACGAGATGACGAGAGCACAAACCAGAACGAGACACGAGAACGAGATGAGATAGCTAAACACTAAGCACTAAGAGCTAAAAGCACATCAGCAAAAACAAAACAGCAACTGAACAAAATAAGAACAAAGCGATGTGGTCGTCGTTGCCGACGACCACGACGATTATGCTGAGGGAGCGGGCCCGGGCCCGGGTGCCGACGCGCTCACTGCCTCCACTTCCGATTCGCGGCCTCCCTGGCAGTGCGCGGCGGGAGCGTGCGCGTCTTGGCCTTGACGGGCACGGGCGCGGGCTCGAAGCGCACCCTCTTGGCGGGCGACGGCCCCACGTCGTCCTCGGCGGCGGCCCGCGGCGGCGTCCGTTGCGCCCTGGTCGCGGCGCGG